GTGCATGTTAAGATGTGAGATGCTCTGGACTATGTAGTTTTATTGTCACCTCTAGCACTGTGGTAGTGTTGAACATAATATATAGAAAATATCCTCACTATGTGCCCAGTCTCTGCTATTTTCTTCTTTTTTATATATACTGGGAAAAAAGGTATATATTTAAAATTAGCCAGTTGGAATCAGTTTAGATGATCCCAATTTTGTTGGCAACATCTCATGCATCATAATTGTCAGCCAGTTGAACACATGCTTTTTTGTGCTAGTCCCACATAGGGGGCACACTGAGATGACGATTGAGATTGGGCATGGTGGCGCATGCCTGTAATCCCAGCACTTGGGCGGCTGTAAACAGGAGAATCACTATACGTCCGATCTAGTAGTGACATCTGAACACCCAGTAGACCCTTCCCTAAAATACAAAAAAACAACAACAACAAACAAACAAACAAAAAGGAACATATGCATTCTTCTTTCCATCAGGCCTGATTAGGGTATTGACCTTGGCAACATCAAAGCCATAGAGCTTCTTTACAGCTTGTTTTGATTTGGTGCTTATTGGCTTTGACATCCACAATGAGCACAAGTGTGTTGTCATCCTCAATCTTTTTCATTGCTGACTCTGTGGTCAGGGGGAATGCGTGATGGCATAGTGGTCAAGCTCGTTTCTCCTGGGGGCGCTCTTCTGAGGGTATTTGGGCTGCCTCCGGAGCCGCAGTGTCTTGGGATGGTGGAAGGTGTTCATATCTTCTTTTTGAGGCTGTGGATGCCTTTCAGCATGACCTTCTTGGCCTTCAAAGCTTTTGCTTTGGCTTCAGCTTTGGGAGTAACAGGGGCTTCCTTCTTCGCCTTTGGTGCCATCTTGGTAAAATGGCTCCTCCTATTTTCTTCTTGAATTCCTTTTTCGTGAAGACCCTGCTTTCTCTTGAGTGCCTTGGCTCTTCAAGTGTCCTACTGTCAGTCTTTAGGAACCTTCTCTGCACAGAGCACACATGCCCTGAGGTGCTAGCTTGCATCCTCTACTTTTTTATGGTTAATGTTTTTTTTTTTTTTAGATAGCTGTAGCTATTATGGGGGGATCTTTTCAGATGACTAGTTGGCATCTGCCTGGAACCAGCCTGCCATTCGCAGTTGTCCTGAGTCTGTTTCTTAGAAGTTCTACTTCTTACTTTTGGCTGTGTTAGAATTACATGGTAAGATGTAAAACAATTAATTCCCTGGTTTCAATTAATTAAATAGTGTCTAGGGGTTGACTCTAGACATCAGTACTAATTTAAATCAGTTTTAAAGAATAGGATGTAGGTAAGTCTGTGGTCCAGTCATACTTTAAAACTACTGTTCCTGGGTGCCAGCTTGTTTATTCATTATGGGAATGCTTTCCACCAGTGCCAGTGATCAGGGACCCCTTCAGTGAGTCCATACTTTCCTACCAAGTGTACAGTGCATGGTAGGAAGAAAGAACAAGATACAAAACACAAGTGCAGGCAGAGATCTGGGATGACCATGTGTCCTCTGAAAACAAGGCCAGGAGGCACACAGAACCTTGGTGTTTGTTCATTACATCTAGTCAGTGACAGTGGGTGAAGGGCAGTGGGTAGTTCTAGGAACAGTAATGGCGACTATAGTGGATGAGGAAGGAGAACAAACGATTCTTGCAAGGACAAGGACAAAGATAAGATGGGGGTAATGAGGAACTTGTAGTTTCCCCAGATGCCTTATGTTTCTAACAGGTTTTATCTTGTCCTGTGAGTGCAATAGCAGCCATTATCCCTAGGGCTTTCAGCTCTGGCCAGAAAAGAGCTGGGAGTTCCTTGTGCCAATCTGGCTCAAGTGCAGGACAAGAATGAGCTTTGGACTTCCCCTAGACTCAATTTATAATTCATAGTCTCCAACAATTCACCATCTATCCTGCCTGCCTGCCTGCCTGCCTCCCTCCCTCCCTCCCTCCCTCCCTCCCTCCCTTCCTTCCTTCCTTCCTTCCTTCCTTCCTTCCTTCCATCCATATCTATTCATCCACATATGTACTCTACAAACAGTTCTTGGGTTTCTTGCTGTGTTCTACCTAACTTTCTAAATTCCAGGTTTTTCGGCTTTGGCATTGTTGACATTTCTAAGCTGTGCATTATAGGAAGCTACATAGAACCCCTAGCTTCTACTCAGAAGATAGCATTACAATATTTTTAAATGTTCAGTGGGGGACAAAATTTGCCCCAGTTGAGGACTGCTGCTTAACAGAAGGATATAAAAAGAGCAGGACAAAATCACCATTGTAAACATTTCCACAGCCTGATGATGAAGGCAGGCACTTAAATAATTATGGTACAGTGGGACAAATATAATACAAGCTTTAAGATCAAGTCCATAGGGACTTGGGGGTAGGGACACTGGGGAAATGGGAGGTGGCTTAAAGCACAGCCTCCAAGGATGAGTGGACAAATAGAGTGCTCTTTAGAAAAGGAATCGCTCTTCAAAGGCCTGGAGCTTGGTTCCATGCTTCCTCATCTTGTTTATGGAATATTGTGGTCCCCTTCTCTTCCGTCTCATATTTCTCTTCCACATCTTGATAGTATCAGTACTGTTCTAACTTTGCTGTCTGCAATTCTGAGTCATCTGGCTTTAATTATTTAGTTGACTCTTTTATTTTTTTTTAGTAATGGCTTTCAGATATCATTTATATACCTGTATTTGTTTCCTATTGTTGTCATAACAAATTACTGAAACAGAAGTTGATTCGCCTGCAGTTCTAGTGGCCACAGTCTGCAAGCACAGTGGCTCCAAGGCCGCCTGCTCTGCCAGGAGGCTCACTGGCTGAATGCTTTATTGCACCTTCCAGTTCCTTGTGGCTGTCAGCATCGCTGAGCTTCTTTGTGGCCACATCACTTCAGTCTTTGCCTCCAACTTCACACCACCTGGTTCTGTGTGTGTGTTCCTCAAGTCTCCCTATGCTTTTTTTTTTTTACAGACAGACACTTCTTAGCAAATTTAGAGTGCAGTTGGCTAATAGAATGTGATCTTCTCAAGACCCTCTAACTTAGCTGCATCTACAAAGACCCTTTTCCAGAATAAATCAAAATTCACAAGTTCCAGAGATGGAGAAGATATGGGTATAAATTTTATGCAGTAACAGTACCAGAACACCTTATCATTCATCCTATTTAAATAAATACAATCCAATGGATTATAGTACATCTAGAGTTGTACCACTTTATCACAATCAATGTTATATTTTCTTTACTTCCCAAAGAAACATTTGTATCTATTAGTTATCACTCCCTATTTTCCCTACTCCAACCTCCTGTTGTAGGCAATCACTAATCTATTTTTCTGTCTCTTTGAATTTGCTGGCTTTGGATATTGTGGCCTTTTGTACACATTGCATGATGTTTTCAAGATTTATGTTGAAATCTTGAAATGTAGCATGTATCAGCGCTGTTTATTTTTATTACAGAATGATATTTTAATGTATGGACATACCACATTTTACTTACATGCTCATTAGCTGACAGATAATAGCCCAAAGGGGGTTGTTCCACTTTTTGGCTATTATCTACGTTAATGTGAATATTTGTGTACTACAAGTTTTTGTGTGGATGTATGTTTTCACTTCCCTTGGGCTGCCTCAGGAATGGAATCGCCCTGTCTCTTGCAAACTTTTGGTGAACGATCAGACTGTTTGCTGGAAATATAGTACCATTTACATTTCACAAGTTTCTCCTGCTGCTTTTTATTGTCTTCTTTCCTTTGATTCTGTTGTCAATTCTGCCTTTTCTGTTAACTTTCTCACTAAGGGCAGAAAAATATTACCATTTCACTTCTCTTAGTGTCATAAGACACAAATGGCACTGAGCTTGACTTACCCGACATGCAGCATTTACTTTTGCTTTTACTTTGCTTCCTAGAAACTCAGTTGAGTTTAACCTTATTTATTTATTCATTTGGATCTCATAGTAATTACATCATTATTTTTTTCCCTTTTTAATTTTATTTTAAAAAATTTTTTAGTTTATCTTAATGAGAAAAAATAATAGCAATGAAACAGTTTCAAAAACACGTTAGTAGGACATTTACAATAATTAATATATTTCATATTGTTGTCTTTGTAGTAGTTATTCAGAGGACAAGATGTAGACATGATATCTTGTCTAAACACTATTAGTACAAACCTTTCTTCTCATTGAACTAAGAGAAAGTAATATATATATATTCACAGATACCATCTTACCCGAGAAAGAATGGCTATCATAACGAAATAATAAAGAAATCAATCAACAACAAATGTTGGAGAAGCTGTGGGAAAAAGGAACCCTTCTCCACTGCTGTTTGGAATGTAGATTGGTGCAACCATTATGGAAATCAGTATGGAGACTCCTCAAAAAACTAGCACTGGAAATCCCATTTAATCCAGCTATCCCCCGTCTGGGAATTTTCCCAAAAGAATTGAAAACATCATATCATAGTGATATATGTGCACCTATATTTATAGCAGCACAATCTGTGATAGCCAAATCTTGGAAACAACCAAAATGCCCGTCACCTGAGGAATGGATGAAAAAGATGTGGTGTTTTTATACAATGGAGTATTACTCAGCTATCAAGTACAATAAACTCAAAGCCTTTATATATAAGTGGATGCAACTTGAAGATATACTCATAAGTGAAATAAACCAGACCCACATGTGTAAATGTCATGTTGTCTCCCTAGTGTAAGAACTCAAACGAAGAAATAAAAATTGAAAAGATGCCTTATCTTTAAATCCAGTCATTTTAGCTCTCAAAACTCAGGAGGTTCTTTCTGAGCTGCTAAGCTCAGATAAGGCTAGACATCTTACATTCTGAATTTACTTATAAACTTTATGTGCAGCTTAATAAATAGTAGCTAAATAGCAACTAAGAATATGATTATTGTAATTGTTGAAAAAGATTCTATGCTTAATAAACTGAATTATTTTCTTAAGTATAAATTTCTGACTCTTTAATAACTTTGGTTATTATTTTGTATACAGATAAACAGGAGATGAAAGACGTCATGGAAGAATGTGAGGAATCTTAAGCAAGGACTTGCTGGGATATATTCTTAAGAAAGTTGGTAATTAAGTTAAATTACTTGTTTTCTTGGAATTCTTTAAATTTAAAGAGCATTGTAGAGACTATTCCCCAAATAATGATTTGGACATTTGACTTTTCTCATAGATTTCATTTCCTTGATATTTTTGAGACTTGAGGTGTAATTGTTTGTCTTCATTGAAGTTTCTGGGGAAATTTATTTATAAATGTATCACTAATCTTACAGTGCCAGGGATATGTTATGAAAGCCAACATTTTAATGTATACATTATGTTAAGCTTAGTGGAAATGGTACGAATATCCTGTATTTGATTTCATGTGTTTCAATCTTACTGTGGCTCAGATGGGGATCACTATGGATATTTGTCCTGGTCTGTTTTTCCTTCTCTCTGTTCACTGTCATTGGTACAACTTACCACAGGGAGAAATAAACTTCCTCCATCAAGCAGCATCAGGGAAGCCTGTATTTTCTTATTAATGATTATACCCATTCAGGTAGGACGGTGAAGAGTTATTTGATACATTTCTCTCAGTTCTTTCACATACTACCTTTTAGAACACAGCAAATAAAGATGAATGACTTTTTATGAAAAGTCTATAACACTATTTTCAGAGACATTTGCTTAATTATATATTAGTAACTTGGATTCATAAGAAAATTTTATATCAACACTTTATCAGATGAGTTGACCTTAGAACTAAAAGTCAAATGTGTTTCTGATTGGAAAAACGAACTAGCTATTGTACTGCCTTTAATAAAATTTGGAGTAATATATATGTGATGTTGTTAATATTTGCTAACACATGCTCATCTACTGATTTTGAATAATAGTGTTTGTTTACATCATTGTACTCCATGGCCTTTTAGAATGAAGAATTCTATAGCTACTCTTTTTGGAGATATCAATGGGCAGTTTCTTTTTTCAGCCTTTGTGTTTGTTTCCTATTTGTTCATCTACAGTACCCGTGACTCATGCTGATATCAGTGTGTTGCGGTATAACTTATCCTGACGTCCAGAGTTTTGCTGTGGGATGTCAGTGGAAGTTAAAAATCAGACTTTTAGGTTGTCATTGGGATGACAGGTGCACTGCTAGGTGTGGAAGGGTTTGGGTAGAGGTGAGGTGGGCAGGGACTTGGAGTAGGACAGAAAAAAACCATTGCTGCTCATCAGATTTTGAGATGAGCTCAGCATTCCAAACCCATATTGTCCTTGTATTTGATGTAAGAGGAGTGGGGAAAGGAAGAGAAAATATTTCTTGATGGACACTGCAAAGGCTTGCTGCTTCATTCAGTAGTTTTGCAAATGCTATTTGGGACACAGAAGCCCTTCTGCTACAGCAATTTTGGTAAGGGGAAGGCAAACAGAGTGATCTTATGAATGTTGTCAGTAAAAGAAGTGGTACCACTGCAGAGCAGGTAACCGAAGCTAACTCTTGCCAAGGACTGGTAAATGGATTCATGATAAAACTCAGTGTGCAAATTTTTTGATTTACAAACAAAATCCCAAACAGCTGCTTTAGAGAGAAGGTATTCTTATTAAAAACAAGTGTTTTGGGGGCCGGGGAGATGGCTCAGTGGAATAAGCGCTTCTCTGGCAAGTGCAAGGGCCTGAGTTCAATCACCGATTCCGCAAAACAAAAAACAAAACAAAACAAAACCCAAGTGTTTTTATAGTGAGGTTCCTTCTAAGTGTTCTAAGTGTTGTCCCAGAACAAGAATAAAAAGTACTGCATAGAAGAGAAAGAAATAAGTTGTTCTGGGGATGAATTTAGGAACTTAAACTGCAGCTTTTCTACATGTGACTTTTAAAAAAATTGCTGGCCCCACTTCAATTGTAAATTCTCGAGGCCCTAAAGTTTATTACCCTTCCATCAAACTCTCCTCAAGCCCTGACAATAAACTCCTGGAGGAGGAAAAGGCTATGTCCTGATGACACAATTTTAATGGATCATGTCTACTTGTAGGACTGTTTCAGAGTAGAAACAAAACATATTGCCTGGGGAGAAGCTCCTGTCCCCAGCCTCTTTTTCTGTCTCATCTTGATCTTTACAACCTGTTTTGCTGCTGTACCTAAAAATTAATTTACATGCTCTTCCAAGAAAGAATGGTGTCGTGTTTCAAATACTCATTCTTTCGGACCAGATTCCCTGATTGTGCAACCGTTTCTAGCTGTTTCTTCCTCAGTGTGACCCTGTAAAATGGCTTGACAGTTTGTGTTTATGAGGATCATGCCACTCAGGTTGGTGTTTTTAGAATCAGAGAAAAGTCAACCAGGAAGAGCTTATCTCATTTAGCCAGTCTTTAATGTTATGTAACAAACCTTAAAATCAGACCTGTAACCTACCTAAGTTCTTTGATATTTTTTAAAATGAAAGCTAGAATTTGCTCAGCAGTTCACATTAATAATTGGGCCATCAAAATTTCTGTTTATTACAATATTTTGGCCTTTTCTTTACAAAATGTGGTACTTACTCCACACACACTCCTTCTAAATTTTACATTTTTTAGGCAACTGTTTTTGACCAAACTTACTATTAATTTTCTTCAAGGCAGTATTACGTGGCTCCCTTTTCAAGGACAGCTTCTCCCTCCTTACACTTCCTGTTGAGGCTGCTGTACCTGTGGCCATGCTGCCCACAGGGTGCCGTCACCTACAAGTCTGATGGGGACTGCAAGTCACATGTAGGGCCCAGCTGCTCTTCCCTTTGTTTTCATTGTTCTTTCTAGAAACAACTGGACTTTGGGAAGGGTTCGCCTATGAAAATTGGCACTAATACAAAGTTGTTTTGGGGGGTGCTCACAATTTACTTAGGGGTCATTTCTCTTTTGTATGTTTGGCAATGTGGCAGACTTATTTTGTCCTTTTGTTCCACAGATCTAGCAAGTGTTTATTCTAAGCCTTGTCTTGTGTAACTCAGGCTTTCAAAAGTATATAGAAACAATAAATGTATATTATTCACTATAATTTCATTTTGTATATGTTCTATTGGTTTAAGAATGGTATTTACTCATGTGATTAATAATATAAAGCCAGTAGAGAATGAATAAACACAAGGATACAGTTAAGTATAAATATAAATTTTCATATGGTTTATTTTTGTTCCTTGTACATAAGAAACAGTAATATACAAGTTACACTGCTTCAGAATGTAAAATGGATAAAAATGTGTACAAAAAAGCACATTTCTAGAAAAAGGTACTGGAAAATAGTAAAAACTGGGGAGTAAAAGCGAAAAACAAATCAAAACAAAACAGAAACCAACAATTCTTCAATTCAGTGTGCAAACATATAAAAATAGAAATACTAACTCTACAGGCAGTATTTCCTGATAAATTATTTAAATAGCATATCTACACAATCTGAGATACCTATTCCAATGGCAATGAGAAAATAAGTTATAAAAATAAAGCAATGGTATACAAGATGGTAGAAAAAAACAAAACTTTCAGAAACTGTATTAAACATTTCAATGCTATTTCCTTATGGGAATACTTTTTTGCAAGGAATTTTTATACTATGTACAACATTGACTTTTTTAGGTACTACAGTAGCTATAAGTTTATTAGACACTAAAACTCTTTCTGCTTGATCCAAAAATTCTGTACTCAGTCACACAACAAATGAGGTAATATTTGTATGTAAGTTTCACCTTTGTCATTTTTTTCTCTTTTGGAAAAATGAAAAAAATAGGTGTATATACTTTTCTTCTCCCTGGAAATAGGCACAAGGCTAGGGGGTAAAAATAGTATTAAAGATCTGATGGCTTTCTTTGCAATCTAAAACACTTGCAAATGGACAACCAACTAATTCCACTTGAAAAGACAAAACAAACAAAGAAAAAATTCCAAATCATTCACTCTAAGCACAAAGTGAAAAGCAGTTTGTTATGAGATTTGCTGATAAAGCTCAGCTGCCTGCTCTCAAACACTTTCCATATGAAATCTAATTCCAGGTAGAACAGAGTTAATAAATAATCTGTATTTACAATCTTACAGTCATGAAGACTCCTAACAAAGATGATATGGATAGCCCTTCTGCTTCTTTCTGTTCCACAATAATGCTTCAGACAGGTCCTCCAGAATAGGTACAAAATAAATATTTTACATTGTAAAGTGTTTATAAAACAAAACAAAAACAAGAACAAGCCAAAAAACTATAGTCCAAAAGACAGGATTGGAAAACTCCATGGTAACTCAGGTACAAAGAGAGAAAAGGAATGTTTTAGTTAAGCTAAAGAGTTTTGTGCCTTTCTAACCATAAAAATATGAGCGCAGCTGCCCCTCCCACAAGGGGCTGCAGGAGCTCACTGAGATGGTAGGTTTTGCTCTTCTCTTGCTACATCTACACAAGGTACACCCGGAAGAAAACCACCAGTTTCCATGTGACCAGGCAGGCTGCCTCGAGCTTTGGCCTCCCTGCTCTGGCCAGCATAGGTGATATGTAAGGGGCGGGGATGGGGAGGACATCAGAAGCCAGGCTTCCCCTCCAGTCCCAGCTTCTATTTAAGTGCCTATTTATATAAGCCAATCAGCTAACACTGTCAGCATCATGAAATCCAGCAATAGTCTTTCAGTCTCCTGAAAATGATTTGGTACCAACATGTAACAGTTCCTCTGCATTTCCTCCGTACAATTGCCTCTTGGGTATGCGCCCGTACCTTAATGCTCCTTCTCCCCTTCCTGAGGGAGTGTGTCAGGGCTGGTTTTGTTTGCTAATTCTAGAGAGTCCTCCCTTCTGTCACATGCCTGAAAATTCTTCTGAGTCCACTGCTCAGAGACAGCCCCACAAGAGCACCCTGCCTGGGACAAAAGCAGAGTGGAGTGGGCACGGTTCCAATGGAAGCAAGTAGATGCTTTTGCTTTCTCAAAAGTAAACCAGTCATTGTTTGTATTCTTGGAAGCTATCTTCTCATTCATTGGAGGCTGAATGCCAAGTCTGTGTCTGAAAGCTGCGTTTTCTCAAGGCAGGTCATATGTTCTAGGAGTCCACGCTGATGTAAGCAGAGAAGAGAGGAAGCCAAGGAGGAGTGATCCTGGGGGTTTCTCAAGCTCTTCATTCCAGAAGGTGCAAAACCAGCTTTGGCTATGACCAGTACTCTGATCAACAGTTTGATGATTAGGAATCTGTTAAAAAAACATATAAATATAAGTAAATACACACATGAAAATGAGCTAATAAGGGCACAATCATCTTAGTAGCAGTTAAAATATTAACAACCCGAGGTAGCTCTACTTTTGCAGTGATGAACACATACTATAAGATTGTCCAAACTATTAACATTTTGTTTCCTTAGGCTTACTGTGACACTAGGATGAAGACACAACACAACCTTTCAGAATCAGTACTATGCTTTTTAAGGCATTCAGTATTAAAAGTTTAGGGAATTTTATTTTAAAAATTGAAGCTGAAGAGTTATATCCTATGTTAAATATTTTTGTGTATCAGCCATCTTTATTACTGTTGGATCTAGCCGATACTTTCATCTGGTAGGTCTGCGCCATGGATTCTTATTGAGCACTTATTTTGTGGTAGAACTAATACTGGATTCAACTTAAGTAATCAGTGGGTGGGGAAAAGGAAGAACAAAAGTAAAAGTTAATTGACAATTAATTAAACACTCCTTTCCCTCTCTAACACAGCAAAAGGGTGTGAAAGACAACTTGTGCTGTGATGGCATTTTACAAAC